GGTGTTCTCTGACATTCAGTCTCTGCTCTTTAGGCTTCAGATGCATGGGGGGCATGCATTCCTGCCAGCAGTGGTAGCTTCACTGTTAACCTGTCTGGGCCTAGAAGCGTTTCTCATCTGTAAATGTGATTTTGAATCTAAGCCATGAATCGGTCTTATTTATTAAAACAAAAGGTTTACATGGAAAAAAAAATAAATGAAAGGAGAATTTCATGCTTATAGCACTCTTATCAGGTGGGTATTATCTTTCCACATACACGTTCACAGAGGTGAATGGATTTTCAAAGACCACATACTACAAAGTAGGAAAGGCAGAATTTGAGCTCAGAGCCATGTTCTTTTTGTTACATTTAGAAGATTTCAATCTTTCATAGATGTACCTAACTAGAAATTTTCTAATCTGCTTTCACTGCATATGGATGCTCTCTAAATGTGAAACAGGTAAATTGGGTCTTATTAAGACGTTGAGATATATGGCTTTAAAATGGAAAGTTTGAAAAGAGTAATGCAGGAAACTTTGTAGTAGAGAGGAGAAAAATTTCACGGGGAAAGAGAACTTGAACTCAAACCTTAAAGAAGAGAGAGAGGAGATATTTTAGGAAGAGGGATATTAGTGTAAGGAAATGTTACTGTTGAGACACACATTGAGAGTGATGAGAATGTGACTTTTCTGTGTGATTGTAGGTCTGGGACCTGGGCAGGGCCAGAATGGAAATCAAGGCTGAGGAGTGAGTCAGTACTTATGTAAGTATGTAAGAATGGCATCGGAGGCTGAGATTATACTTGACCTTTACGGAGGGTGAGCAGTGGAAAAAATTATTTTTCTCACTTCAGAAAGACAAAGAATCAGAGTTGTGATTGCTTTTTAATTGAACATCCCTAAATCTATATATGCAAGAATACCAACAGAGATCAGTGTCTCTGGAAGGTAGAACTCCATGGCCTTCATCAGAGGACTGATACATGAATAATTTTATAACATTTACCCACCCTGCCCCTTGTCTTTAGAAAAGCATCTGGTGCCCCAAGAGTCTTCAACCAAAAATTCTTCAAGGCATGAAGTTAAGAAATGAAAATGCAACAGGTCTGACATTGGTATGGTCTCTGTGGGAAATGGGAAATCAGCTACTGATTTCCAGGACTTTTGCAAGTTTCTAGTAGAACTTTTACTTTACGTTTTGTTTGGAAATGATGTATTTTTATTTGACTTTCAAGTCCAGAACAAGAATGATTTCCTGCAGTGTGATTTGTTGTTGTTGTTGTTGTTGTTTTTATAATTTGTTTTATTATTTTATGTTAGTCACCATACATTACATCATTAGTTTTTGATACAGTGTTCCATGATTCATTCAGTGTGACGTTTGAAGATGGTAAGTGTGGGGAGAAGGAGCAGAATTGATGACACAGGCCTGAGGTTGTTCAGTGTATGTCAAAGTGTTCCATAATGTTGCATGCTCCTGCGGGAAACTATGTCAACTCAACAGAAAGCAGCAAGGCCAATATTCACCTGATACGCTACAGTTCTACGTATCGTTTGCACTGATTTATGATTGAGTAGGTAACTGGCCAACTAGGCAGGAGATTTTGAATATCCACTCTGGAAACAGGGCAGCTATCTTATTTGTGGGCCCAGTGCAAAACAGAAATGTGGGGCCCCTTGTTCAAAAAGCAGGAAAAAAGTACTGTTAAACATGTTTAAGATAAAAGCTTTTTCCTTTCTTCTGTAGTCTCTATCTTGACTTGCGGTGTTTTATTTTTTTACTTATTATTTAATGTCATTCTACATTTAGTATATAAATCTAGAAATTTAATATATAAATTTAATTTCATATGTAATATTAAAATTTAATATATACATAAAATTCATCATGTAAATCTTATATAAAAATTTTAATGTTTAATGTATAATTTAATGTATAAATAAAATTGTTAAAAATTTCAAGATGGCTGACTGGAAGGCATTAAGTCCATGGGGAAGCTTCTCTGAGTCAGGGGCTCTGCATACAGGTAATATGCCTATGACGCCAGCCATATCTAGAAAGCAGTAGTCTAGAACTTTAGCCAGCACCAAGATAAGCATTTGGTGAGTGTGATTCCTTGAGGGGAAAGAAGGAAAACAGAAAGAAATCAACGGCTTTGTACATCCTCTAACAGGAGATGGCCCAGAGTACCAGGTTATCATTCTGGGGGTGTGAGGCATGCAGTAGACAAGGGGTGTTTGGATGTCAGCAAGGAATAATATGTCATGATCTTTCCTAGGATTGTGGAGGAGGAATCCAGGAGGAGCACATGGGCTAGAGACTTGTACCATTAGGTGAATCACCAAGTAGATAAACTGACCCTGTCTATAAGCTACTAATGTGTGAATTCATGTCAATCTAGAAAGAAGTCTATTGGGTGAGGAGAAGAATTTCAAACCCTACTTTCTTCTCTGGGTGGTCAGTATTTTTACTCAATAATTTGGGAGGTCAAGTTAATGATAAAATGGAGCTGTGAAGGAGAGGGAATCCACTGAATGACAGCAACAAATCAAAAAAGGCTTGGCCCATCATTTCAGCCTTCCTAGTCTAAGAGGTGTAGCTCAACACGGAAAAAACTCATGTAAGCAAAGCACAGGAATAGGATGTTGAAAATGTGGAGTTGCACGTGTGAAAAAGACCTAGAAGCTTTATTATAATTACAGTAAATACTGTGTGAGTCAGCAGCATGAAGTGGCTGGAATGAAATAGCTAATCTGCTATTGAGCAACATAAATAGAAGTATAATATCTGGGACAAAGATGGTAATAATGAACTTCAACTCTGACTCTTCAGATCACACCTGTGGTATTGTTTTTAGTTCTATACATCCTCTTTTAAAAGTGACATAAACAAACAAGACTATGATGATTGGAACTGAGTAGAAACAGGGTAGGACTCAAAACAATGCAATCTAAACAGCAGTGGAAAAATGGGACTGTTTAGTTTTGTAGAAAGGAAAACTTGGTAGAGAAGGAGAAGAGGTGAAATAAAGGTGTTTCTGAACATTTGAAGAGCTTTCGTGCAGAAGAGGCATTAGATTAACTAATTTAACTGAAGGGTGAAACCAGAGACAGTGGTGACTTTCAGAAGGGAACAGATTTCAGTTCAATGTTGGAAGGAACTCAGGGAATTGAAAGCACTATATATATCTGAGAGGGGGTGGAGAGGAGCAGAGGGAGAGGGAGAGAAAGAATCTTAAGCAGATTCTGTGCTGAGCGCAGAGCCCAATGCAAGGCTTGATCCCACGACCCAGACATCACGACCTGAACAGAAACCAAGAGTCAGGCACTTAACTGACAGTGCCACCCAGACGCCCCTTGAAAGCACTTTTAAAAGAAGAAATGAGCTGCTTTGGGAAGTAATGAATTTCCTGTTGCTGGAGCATGGGTGTGGTGTTATCAAGAAAGGTTAAGTTGTGAAGTCAGACAATGGGGGTTCACATTCAGGCATTGACATTTACTAGAATAACTTGGTAAACTGCTTAATGTCTCCCAGCTTCAGTTGCTAATGGAAGAGATCTAACTTTACTAGAAGGCGTGTTTGGAATATTAGAGAAAATCTATGTAAATCTCTTGACATATTCTCAAATGTTGTGCTCACAAGATACTGAATGTGCATTACGGAAGTATATATCATTTGACACATGTACATGAAGATATTTCTGGTTGGTGGAGAAGCTTACTTTGACCTAGATCTCAGGATACCCACCTGAAAGCCTTTAAAAAGTAAGAACTTGCTTAACGTTGTTCTTATCAAACGTTTCCCTTAACTTTCTTGTATTATGAAAGCTAAGATCATAAGAATTTGCCTACTTATAATATTCTTGGAGTTTTCCTAGTGAATTATCAGTTTTTACATG